TTTCTTCTTTTACAGGAATTTCCAATTTTACAACTTTTCGAATTCTATATACACCAAATCCTGGCTGATCTAACACATAGATTATTATTTCAAACCCTATTTTCAAATGTAAAAAAAATAAAGATCATTTTGAGGAAAGAAAAGATTCCCTTGTACATATATTATTAATTAAATTACCTGATACAATGATACCATATATTTCCAAGTTTTTTAAATTCCAACAACTAGAATAATTTGTACCAAATTTTTCATAAAAATACAATGCAATACTATCGTAACAATCTTTCATTAATCTAAAAAGTTTTCTAGTATCACCATTCATTTTATCCTCCTTTTCATTCCATGGCTGTGAACATACCTCACCAACTAAAAATTCAAATTTTACATCAGGCTTGATTGACTTTCTAGATACAAATATCACGTCAGGACGCTTTCCTTGCTTTTTTCTCTAGAAGAACAAGAAAATAGCAAATTATTATGAATTTTTTTTTTTTTTAATGAAAAAAATTTATTAAGGTTTACCTTTTTTTCTACTATATGATTTTCTTTACTATCATCACTAGAAACTTCATTTCTTCGTCTTTTTGAGCTACGGCTAGCCTTTTCAGACCTATTATTAAAGAAAAAAAATATTAGTTAAAATTTGTTGGTAAATAGGTACTATACAAATAAAACAATTATCACTTTACATTATTAATTTTAATTTGGGAATGCCTCTACTACTGATGTTGAATGGTATGGAGATACAATGGTCCTCCCAGGTCCCTTCATTCAATTCATGGTCTTGTTCTATATATTCTTGATTTTTTCTTAAATATTTGCTAAAATAGAGATCCATTAAATCAAAAAAAAATTTTTGAACCAATAAGAATATAAATTAAATCGATGTACAAGTGTGTGCAATAAAAAACAGATTGACTCAAAAATGGGGTATGGTCCCTATAAATATGTTACTCCCCATAGTGAGTTTCATCAGGAAATTAATTTAGCGTAAACTTGCATAAATCTTACGATGCCGATGTAATATTGTGTAAATCTTACAGTGCTGACGTAAGTTTTACACTTTTTTATTATTAAACTTACAATTGACACATGTAAAATTTTTTTATATTTTTCAGATGTTTAAACCAAAATAAAATTGTTTAATGGTGATTATTAGAATTTTTTTACCTGAAAATTAAGTGAATTGGTAATGTTTTATAATGTTCCAATATAAGGCAGGATTATTTACCGTGTTTCAATGTCAATCAGAGGAAAACAAAAACTTATAAAACATATCCTTGAATGTAGTAGAATTTGTTCAAAACTCAAACAATGTTTTTATTGATAAGCAATGCAATATGATGGTCTTGCATAAAGGAGAATGTTCTTTGTAGTAATAGTCAGTAAAAAAAAATATCAGTATTGTAATAATAAAATTATTTTCCTTCTAAGGATTTCTGCTTTTTATTAGGCAATAATGCATCATAGTGATGCTTTCTTTTTCCAACATTTGTTATTTTTCTTTCCTCTTGGTAAATTTCATAGGTAATTCTTCCTTTTCTTAGATAAGTTTCCAGTGTCTGAGTATCATTTATTTTGAAAATGCAAGGAGCAATTTTTTCACCTTGTTCCTTTTTCAAAATACTTCTGATAATACTATAATTCTTGGGTTCCATTGTAGATCTGATATAAATGAGTTTCATACTAACTATTTTTGTCTAGATGAATATCATGATCACATTACATTGTAATACAATTGTGATGTTAAAAAACAATATTGATCCCTGTAATACTTAGTAATACAAATGTTCACTTTTGTCTGATTTGGTTGCAGCATGCCCATATATGAAAATTTATATAATGTAGGACACCCCAACCACCCATGTATTTGTTATAATCATCTATTATTTTAGGGGTTGGAAATATTCTTTTCGCTGCATCTCCAAATACTTTTATAACTTTGGTTGCATTGGTACTTGTAGTTCTTGGACAATAATGTTCTTTATCTATTATATTTTCTGGGCCAGTGATCTCATGAATTGTAGACAACATTGTTACTGGGCCATTGTCCATCCACAAAACTGATAGTACATCATCCACAACAACCTCACTAAGTGTATCCCATCTAATTTTTTATCAGTTTTCAGAACATTTGGAAAACTTTGATGTATTTTTACATACAGTACCACATGCACCAATTTTTTTTTCATGCAAATTATTAAATAAATTTATGCTACTAAAATAGTTGTCCATATAAATGTTAAAAGATTACTGGTTGGTAATTCTTTTAATAAATGATAAACTTCACATCCTGTTTGATTAACTCCTGGTATATTTTGAACAAATAGATTCTTTTTTATTCTTGATGATGTGAACATAAAATTATATGTGTACACTGCATCACACAAAGCAAGTACTTTATATCCTTCAGGGGTAGGTTTTACTTTCATTCTAATAGTACGATGACTTCTACCTGAAATCTAATGATCATTTCATCAACTGACAAGTTCAAGGAAGGAAGGTAATATTTCATGCAACTATTTAAAATACATGATGCAAGAGGTTCAATTTTGTGATACCATGGAGTTTCTTCTTGAATGTTTTCAGTTGAATCTGAGCCATAAAAATATCTTTTTATTTGCTCAAATTTGTTTAGGGACATGTAATCAGTAAATTTATGCTATATTTATCAGAAATTTTCCAATAATCTCTTATTGATGGTAATTTAAAAATTCCTGAATATATATATTACTATTCTCAACCAAATTTTAAATCACATAATTCAAGAGAATCTCATTGCCTTCCAGTTCCAGCATCTTTTTCATCAGCATAAAGATTCGTGTTGTATATAATGACATTTAGGATATCAACAGTAAAGAATAGACCAAACAATGCATAAGGTGTAATATCAATTTCTGAAGGCAATATTGCTCTAAAGAATTTTCATGTATAAATTTATTAAATGATGGAGTTGATGGAAGATCAACTGTCTGTACATTATTTCCATTTCCTCCTCTACCTCTACCTTTTCTCACTCTTACTCTTCCCCTCCTTCTAGTTCGATTTTCATTTATATCATTGTCATGATCAATTTGCATTTGATCCTCTTGATTATTATTATCATCCTTTTCTTCAATATCGTCTTCATTTATTTCATCTTCATTAACTTCATTAAGATCTTTCTCTAATAATGCTACATAGATATTTATCACTTTCACTGAAAATTTCAGGTGCTTGTTGGAACAATTTCTTCTGCATTCATTTTTAAAATAATTGATTTAAAAAATTTTTTTAATAATTAAAAACCTGAAGAATTTACTTCTCTTCATATGCCATTTTTTGGGTGATGGTCACCATATGCGGACGATTTCCGGGTAGGTCTGACCTTTATTCATGTGTTCGGAGGGATACAGCTTTAGCTGGTGAGGGATAAATATAAATGCACAGATATTACCTGGTCCGTAGATCTTGAGTGAATTATCCGACCGATACCCAAAGATCGATAAGATCGATAAGCCTTCTTATATGTTTTCCCAGGATGAGGCTCTATCCCTACGAACTGAGGGATAAAGGTGATGGTATCTTTCTTTCCTATT